CTTTCTAGGTTCGAATTCAAATCAAAAAAATTCGGGATTAGATCTAGCTTTAGTTAAAAACTATTACTGCTCAACAAGACCAGTACAACATAATGCCAGACTATGTAGGTTCATTAAAAAAGCAATAAAGGTAGCAAGCATTGTAGCGAAGTAATGAGCGAAGCGGTCGAAAGGAAGTTTGCCCTCCTCAATATCGACTTATGATTAAGACAACAAAAAGGGAGTTCCATGAGCTAAGTGTAACTAAAGGCCAGAACAGAATATTGTTTGGAGAATAAAAAATTTTGCTATTCTTAGATAATGTATATAATTCTTTTCTACATTTCTATTTTTTTCCTGTTAGAAGTTTTCATAAGTTATGCAATATTTTTCGACATAAGACTGTTTGGTGTTCGACTAGCTGGGTTTTGGATTCAAAGGCCTCATCCAATCAGTTTTGAAAGATAAATTTTGCACACCTTATAAGAAATCGTTTATTAATTCCTGGTAACCATTAATGGTGGGAAAAGGTGCATACATTTGATTTTATTCTGCTGAAGGTTTGAGGAACGTAATAGAAACTTCCACCTGAAGTCTCTAACCACCTTTTAACTCTTTAAAAGGCGGTTGTTAACCTACACTAACCACCTTTTCTATCGAACGTTCTACTCACTCATGTGAGTGATTTTCAAGACACCGTTTCAGAAGTCCCCTTGTAGCTCACTAGATGGCAATCAAAAAAAAAAAACATAAGCCCGTAGTTGATGCAGCAATTCGTCTTCAAGAAAATAAGCATCAGCCATCGAAGACAACATCACGACGATATGCATCTGTAGCACCAAGAAAAAGCCTGTAAGAACAGTGTGGTAATGCAGCACATGCAAAGTTGCACTCCGCTTGAAAAAGAAGAACTGTTTCCATGAGTACCATAAAGATTGATTTGTAGGGATGTGTTCAGTGGGCGGTGGTAACCACTAAAAGTGGTTATTTTTTTCACGCGTCTTGAACAAAATATGTGTAATTGTCGCAAATAATTTCACTGTAACACCTGATATAGTAAATAAAACAAGAGTTTTGCTGAAAAAGGTAATTGCCTTTTCCTGCCCCTCAAAGAGTTAAAGTAACGTGTATGGAAACAGAGTTTGCAAGTATTTGGAGCACTGTCACTAAAGAAAATCAAAGATTATATTTCAAAAGTAAAAGTTTCTGTGGCAAAACTCCAAAAAAAGTTTGTTGGTTGCGTTACACTGCGTGAGGCTTGTATTAATTTAAATTAGCTGTCTTCACCTTTCACGCCCGAGAGCCACATCAATAAATTCACAAAGATCCGCGGGCCGCATACGTGTCAAAAATAGTGTAGTCAGAAAATTTATATAAAAAAGGTTTGCTTTGCAAGACTGCAGTTGATTTTAAGTGAAGAGATAGTGATACAGATTTGCATATATATATACATTGGTTCATAAAAGTCAAATGGAAAACGAATTAAAATGTTTTAAAACTTTTTTCAACTACCAAAAAAAGTATAAAGATTATTGTACAGACAAAATGTTAGAAAATGCATTTACAATAGAAAAAAGAAGAAAAAACTTACATTACTGGCTGGAGATGGCAGTTACTTTAGTTTTAATGTGAAATTTGACTTTGTTTTTGCTTAATTAACGCTTTGATATCCGGTTTAATCTGCGTTGCTGCAATTCGTAAAGTTTCCTCCAAATGTCTGTCTGCTAGACGTGTTCTTGTTTTTGATTTTAGGATTTTCGTTTTACTAAAAAGCTGTTCACATATGTAGGTACAGCCAAAGACAGAACACATGAAAAATCCATGTTTACGAATTCCTGAATACTTGCCTTCGGTCACGTACTTCGAATAAAAAGCAATTAATGTAGGATTTTCAAGAAACTTGCATTTTACTGCAGAGTCACTCTGTAAATCTATAAATTCTAATTGATGTTCAGTCGGACACATATTACATAAGATAAATTACATAAGATAAAGTGAAATTTTTGAAAAATTTGTCATTTTCCGAAAATTTTATCTCAAATAATATCAGGCTTGTCAATAAAATGTTTTAAATATCAAGAATAAGAGAAAAAAGTTTTTATACGACAAAAAGGCTGACAAGGCAATTTTTATTGAAATCAAAATTTCTTCAGATTTAAATGTGGGGCCTCTAAGATGCCTTCAGCGGGCCATGGGTTGAAGACCCCTAATTTAAATGATGACCCCGCTTATGATCACAGTTGTCTTCCGGGGATTTACCTGATTCGCGAAGAATTTGTCAGGCGTATAAGATGATCGAAGATCAGGAAGACCAAAAATATAATTTTACGAAAGAAATGTGACAAGTCAGTGAGCTTGAAAGAAAGAAGATTATTAAGCAACATAGAAGAAACATCTACAATTTCACGAATATCAATATGCCGTATTCTGAGACAAGCTTTACGCGATTTTACTGAAACAAAGATTAAATGATAAAACGTGAAATATTTCTATCCCAAGTAATCTAACCACACGTATATTAATGACATTGAACTAGAAGTAAATTCGCGGTCAATCCAGTAAAGAAATTCATCCACCCGGATTCTAAAAATTTCTACATAGCAAATAATACATGAAGTAAATGATGATCTCCGCATAGGATTATCAAAGAATTAGTTACGAACGATAGAAAATTCCAGCTGGATAATGCGACCCAGCACATTATTACGAATGATGCAAATGTTCATAACTCCATCTGAATAGGTTATAGACGCACAGTTTGAATATTAATGTAGACCTGCTCTTATTAAGCATAAGTGATCACGTATGAGTGAGAAGTGTTACCTTAATCGGCCATAATGTGTATACGTAAGTCCACCAGACATCAAATACTTCACCACTTTGAAACAGCCTCAGGAGGGGCTGCGTGTTTCCAAAAGCAATTCGAGGATTGAAAAAAATAGTACCTTACAAAGTATAGCAAATCTTCCAAGAAAGGTGAAACTGCCTGAAACAAAATAAAACCTGAGGGGGGAAAATAGCATTATTTTTTAGATGATTTTTAACTTTGTTTTATGTGCTGTTGCTATGTGTATGACCTGCTCTAAAAATAACATAGACATTTTAGTAGTATGGATAAACAGAATTATTTGCAATTTTATAAGTTAATCTGGCGATTAGCGCATGATAACGATGAAGCGCCTGGAATCGAATGAATTATTACGCACATAAGATAGCAGATGAGTCTTCATTTCATGATTTGTATTTCAAAATGAAAATGTATTCACCCCCCAAAAGATAACTGTTTACTGTAGCTGTTGCTTACAAGTTGCATTTAAGGAATTAAAGAACCTGATACTGTTCACAAGTCACAGTTAAGTGATCTATCTGACAGCCACATTTTGAAAATGGTTTTCACATGTGAACGATAAAAAGAAACAAAATAGAGATTGTTGTCACATGCCAATGAAATTCAACGACTTTAAAAAAATTTTGCAGGCTAGTTTTTGCATGTATATATTTTAAAGGAATAATTCCCGATAATTTTTAATTGCAATGGCATGAGCATTTGCAGCCCGTTTGCTGACCAAAGAACCCAAAAACTCTACAAAATTTGAAAACGCTATATAGGGAAAGTTCTGTGTTTATTTTTGAAATAAAACTTTAATTTCAATATTCTAAAGTGTTCATTTTTTTCGTTGTTTTCTGATTGCAAATTACTGATGGCATTCTAGAAGTTTGTTTCATTATTCCAATTGCTCTTCCGTAAGAAACAGAATAGAATTTGTTAAATGTAGGTACTCATTTTGAGACCTTAGATGTTTCTTAAGCCGACTTGTATTTAGAAAAAATGCTCTCACGAGAAGTAAAACTATAGCAATTGTGAGAAAAATACGCAGTAACATCATAATACTTAGAATTGGGTTCTGGAGACTGTATTTTAGAATAAACTGAAAAAATTGAAAGCGACCGGCCTTTCAGTTACACCTCCGTTCCGTCTTCCTAAGCAGCAACATAAATATTGAAGTATTTCTCTCTTGGTGAAGAATTCTTTGTTATTTATGTCATGGTGATTATAATTTAACTGATATCCATATTCTTTATTCAAACGTTTTAATGGAATAAGGAAGGAACAATTCATTAGTTCGTGGTTCCTTTACCAATGACTAGGTGAATAAGATGGTTGTATAAACCTATGGTCAATACCTAATTCTTAGTAACAAACCTAGTTCAACCTATGGTCTTTTCCCAAAGAATGAGTTAATTGTATAATCGTTTTCATGGTTTTATCTTATATGTAACATAAAGTATGTAATATTTTATTCATGGATACGTGATGTGAATATTAGCCGGTGCCCCTTTCATGACAGAAATATGAGCCAGTTCTCAATTTTCAACAACTTTAGTTCTGCATGAAGACATCCTTCTCCTTAGAGAGATAAATGTAGTGAGCTTTGCTGTAATCCAATAAATCCTAATCCTCATTTCTGCCCCAAACATCCACGTGGCCAACTCCCGTATAATATGTTTCATGAAAAATAACCACCCCAAAAAAGTGTGCAGCTCGGGGCAAACTGCCCCTCTACGCGTTACAGTGAGGCCATTGGCTAATATAATCTCCGAATAAATTATTGTTAGATATAAGTAAGATAATCCAGTGATAAGGTTATCCTTTACGACTAAGTAAAATTTAATTAATTTAAAATGATATCTATCTAAATTCTAGAGTTCTGAAAAAAAAAAAAAAAAAAAAAAAAAAAAAAAAAAAAAAAGACATAACATTTAAATAGTTATCAGAACGAATTACAAAAGAGCATTATGAGCTGGTAGAAATGGTTGACAAATTGCAGTGTCATTGCAATTTGTCAAAGTTCCAAAGCCTCGGAGAGGTAATAAATTGGCATATTAACAACTGTGCACTTGATTTGAATTTAGGCATTATTTTTATTTGTTTGGAGTTTGAGAAGACTTCTATATAAGGTCTATATTTTTAATGCGAAAGAAAATTTATAAAATGCTGTACACAAAAATTACTCATGCCATTTTGATTTCACAATTTATTTTTTCTAATTGCTACATTTTGAGTTAATGACTAGTTTACACTGGTCTTCCAATAAAAAGCAACTTCAAGGACTCATTTGTACATCAAGGAGAATTTAAACACAAAACAGTATGAAAATGACTAAATACCGTTATAACACAGAAATATACATACATAATAGAAAAATTAAGTGAGAAGTTACTATAAAAAATTCATCTGTACATTATACAGAAATACAAAAATGTAAACCTGTCAAAACCAATAGTAATTAATTTTATATACATAGTTAGAGGTGATATGTGTAATATACAAAAAAGATGACATATATTTAAATGTCAAAATTCTGTAATAAGCAAAAAAGTATAAAATGACAATTATAACATAAACTAATTTAAAAAATACCTAACTATTGATATATTGTTGCATTTTCCGTTTGTTGGAAAACAAAACCTATTTAAATCTTAAAAACAAAATACAGACATATATTTCAATGAATGATTGAGATGAGCTTTCATTGAAAATGGACACTTATTTAAAAATGATTTGAGCATTAAATAATGAATAAAGTTAAGGACCAAAACTGTATATTAATTATCACCATGACCACATTTACAAATACATATCACCTAACGCATTGGAATCTTTTACATTACATAGCAACCAGTTAGAGCATCAGAATTTGAATGAAATATTAACATCTAACTTTTGAAACTCTGTTTATATTTTATTAATGTAAAAATAAGGAAAACATAGAAATCAAAATTTCTAACAGAAATAAATAAATAAAAAATAGAATTTAGCAACAGAATATAAAAGGTTTTAAGTAGAAATAAAGCTTTCATTATGAAATGAATTCCAAAACAGAGAATTATTTCATTAAATTACACTATAAAAGTAATAGCACATTAACAAATTATAGAAATAATATAATTAGCTAATAATAACAATAGACATCTAAAACTGCATTTATGGATAACAAATTATAAACAAAGTAACTGATACTCTGAACAACTTTCATTAGCTACGTTCAAGTAGTGCAGAAGATGCAATTTCAGCAGTTAAGGTTTTTAAGATTTTTTATAAAATACTGAATAAAAGAAGTTGATTAAGCAATTACCGGATGCATAACAGGATAGAGTTATGTTAGATGCAATTTTATTGAAATATATCGAAGTTTTGTTCATGCACTATAAGCAGTTTGAAAAATTCTTATTTTGAGCTCAAAATATTAATTAAATCTTAAATCACCTATAAAATGACTACAGAAAAGTGTACTTCTAAAGGTAAAAAAAAAGAGGGCAAAAGTAAGATATTGATCAATACAATATCTAACAATGTTAGATGAAAACTTTAAATTTTTTGCACTTAGCTCAAAAATATTGATTTCCATTCAGATATTTAAACCACTTCTCTCCGGCGATTGTTATAAAATTTCAAAGTTTATACACATATTAAAAGTTTCTGATTGTATCAATTCTAGAATTTTTAACACAGTTACAAAAGTTGTTTAATTTACAAGAAAGAAGGTATTCAACACCTTCAAAAGTTTTATTTTTTTCCATTCATACAGCTATTATTTTACTGCTATCCACTTTGACTTTGATAAACATCACATCATCTTTGATATAATGCCTCTTCTTCAAAGCATCGTGAGAGACAAAACGAGGAAATCCGAATCCAAGTGCATCTGGTTCTTTGCTTGGCCTTTGGAAATTTTTCCAGGTTGGGTCGGGTACGAAGCTTTCTATAATATTGCAAGCTGTTTCACCAGCTGGAGCCTGATCGTAGAGGACGAATGTGACAGTATGGCTAAAAGGCCATGGCAAGAGAGCATCATATTCTCCTGGTAATAGCTTAATGTAAATGGATAAATGTGTACCTTCACCAGCACCATTTCCATTTAGGAACAAGGTAGCCATAAGCTTGTAGCCATGCTGGCTGGTGTAGAAAGGAGTACTGCAGAGTTCATAGCCTTCTCGGGCCTCGCTCAAACGTCTTGTATAGTCACTGATTCTCCATAAAAGTGTACCAGATGTATTCAGAGTGAGACCTTGTAATGCTGCTCGGAGACTGGTAATTTGGTGCTGTTGCCTGGACACAACACCACATACAAGTACCAAATGAGCTTTGCTAGCATCATCCAAGTGTTGGTCCATAGCTGATCGGCTGCCCTAAAGAGTCAAAAAAGTATTTTAAATAAACTTGCTTTGTACATAATATTAGACATAATATTAGACATAATATTAGACTTAATATTAGACAAATATTTGTTAATCTTTTTTACGCTGTTTAGTAAAGGCAATACCGAAAAAGTCGAAGATAAAACATACAATTACTTTCAGAAACATTTAATTACTGACGCCAATCTGGAAACCTTGGCGGTTCCTATTCACCCCAAGAATCTGCGGCAAACGAGGCCCAAGTCACTGTTGTCGACTCCAAATGAGTTCTTTTTCATTAATTCGTTGCACAAGGAAAAACAGTTAATAAAATTTTCTATATTGGTATATCTTCTCTACAATAACGACGTAGTACATCTGAAGATATTCAAGGAAAAAAAATGATTGGGCTGAATATGAAGATAGAAGGATTTTTATAAGACGTTTAAATAATAGAAGATTGCTGTGCCCATTGCATTAGTTCATATAACGGACCATTGGAAAGTAGATCATCCACCATCATATCTCAGTCCATATGACCGTCAAAGTCCATGCAATAGTTTCTGACTCGAAAAAATGCGATTTTGTTTCGTATATACCTGATTTATCCATTTGCGATGTTAGGCGTTTTATTTAGGGGGAGAAAAAAAAAAAAAAAGACGTGTGGAACATTTGAAGATTCTCAAGCGTGTTGAAAAGTATGAAGAAAGAAGATTTCCACAAAACATTGAAGCAATGAGAGGATTGTTTCCAAGGATTAACTTCCAAAGATACTAATTTGAGAAGAATGCTGTCACTAAAATCAGATTAATTTTTTAACAACTACATAGACAGTTCGAAAACCTTTTACATTACCATATTAATAAAGAATACAAATAGTTAAAAAAAGTTCAGTAATAAATTAGCAATTTTTTAACTGAAATTTAATAAAAAAATTAAACAGACATTTACGTTGTGAAAATATTAAGCTAAAAGAGATATATTTCGAACATACATTTTTAATCTATTTAAAAGCCGTAAGCTACAAAAGAAACGATGTATTAAAGAGAAGCTGAAAAATCTCTTAGCAAATGATCACATTTTAACTAAGATCCATAAAGAAAAGTAATTATTCCGAGGTAAAATAATCAAATCGTATTTTACGTTCCATGAAAAAAATCATATTTAAGGTTCATGAGTTGTTTAATTTCAGCAATACCATTCTATAGGAAGCGTGCGAATTATCTTAGCGCTTTACACTGTGATAAAAAAAAAAAAAAAAAAAAAAACTACAGAATTTTACACTGACTTATCTCAATTAATAACTTAAAATTATTAATAACGGACAACTTTGAATTCTCTGAATTAAAAACAACCAAAAAACGACGAAATTGGCACCAGAAAGATTAATATACAAATGAAATTTCAGAAACCCCAATTAAAAGTTGGATAAAATAATTTCATCAAGATTAGAACGCAAAGTGATAAATTACAACCAAGAAAGACGTCAACTGTCACTGAAAATGCAATTAATTTTCTAATCTTAAGAAGACGTGGCGAAAAGTTAACGTTTTTCACATAGAAATTCATTAATTTTATTGACTGAACTTTCCTTTTTTCTTGGCGTGAAATTTGATAAAGATATTTCATTCCACGTTAATGACATTAATTTTCGTCAGACGACAGGCAACTGTTGACGTAAAGAAGCGCAGTTATAACACAGGGCGTATTTTATTATTTCAACAAAAAATATCAAAATTACTTAAGCTGAAACTGAACACAATAAAATATTCGAAAGCTTATCATTAAGTTTTAAATAAATATTTGACTTTTCTAGGGACGGTAGTATTAAATGAACACTCGAAGATTTCTTTTAAATTATGTTTAGATAACTGATCTATTACTTGGAGAAAGGAGAAGGAAGCCTCATAACCTAATATTGGAAAATGTCCTTTGGATCTCTTTGGAAGAGTGGTATGAGTTATCATCGAGGCTTAACATGGAATACAATTACTTCTGACTTTAAGTAGAGAATGAAAGATGACTCCATTCTGCTTAAGGGTAAATCTTAAGAAATCTGCTTAATCTTAAGAAATTAAAGGTTATTGTTGCTGGCATGGTGAGAGGGAAGCCAGCTGCTATAGACTTGGGCCTGGGTTTGAATCCCGGAGAAGGCATGGATGTTTCTAAATGTGTAGAATCTTTGCGGCGCTAATAATTATTTAAGGATACTTAAAATACTGTCCAGTTGAAAGTCCTCTTGATAGATTTGCGGGAAAAAAATGGGATAAGAAATCCTCGGATCTGTTCTCTAGGGTACTCTGATAAAACTGGAGCGTAAATGGGTAAACGTCGGATTATCACCCGAGGCCTTGACCTATAACAGTCGTTTTCCGCCTTTTGACTAATGACAGGACACTTATATATCGTAAACTGCATGATATGTTTTGTAATATAAAATTATGTAGGTACAGCTTTCATATATGAACAATATATAAATTGTCTCATTTTTTATTCAATATTACCAGAAATAAAAATAAGAGACTTGAAGAAACTATAATGAGGATCAACTGCAATCTTATCTTGATGCAGTAGTTGGTATGCGAATCAAGATTAAATGCTGTGTGAACATTAAGAATGTCCAGTGGCTTCAATATGTTATTGAACTGTTGCTACATTACCAAATTTAGTGATATGAAAGCATTTTAAACAGCCGCATTCAAAATGTTATCCTTCCTACCACATATTTCTGTGGACAATCCTGCTCCCCCCCCCAAAAAAATCTCTAGAAGCTTTGTTGGTATCATTTCTATAGTACTCCATGAATATAGCGTTTCATTTGCTGTATAATTTAATGCAGAAATACAGTGAAGCCTCGCTTAACGAGCAGCTCCCATAACGAGCAAGACAAAATGTAAAAAATCTGCCTTCCTTAACAAGAAGAACGTATACTGAAACGTATTCCCGCTGAACGTATTCTCACAGAACGAGAGGAGGTCACATGCAGGATCATGCCTGCATCGTGGCTATTAGTCTGCGTCTAGCGTATGTTTAGCTAGCATCTTGCTGTCGCCTGTGAAAGCTACATTCAGACACATTATTGCAGTTTTTTACTCTTTTTTTAGCACAAAGTTACACGTTTGTCCAAAAGAAAATGCCACAAGAAGACAGGGATAAGAGAAGAAAAATCTCTTATGAAATCAAACGCAAAATCATTGGGAAGCGAAAAAGAGGAACGAGCGTGGGTGATCTAACACGCACATAAATCAGTCTACATCAAAGACTGGCACTATCCTCAAAAATAAGGAAAAAATTAAGGAGAATGATGCTTCAAAGTTTATCACAAAAAGTTTTACGCAACGGTTACACATTCTTGACGATGTTGAAAAATTGATTCTCATATGGATCAACAAAAAGGGACTGCCGGGCCACAAACCGATGAAAAACGGTCTTACACAATCGTTTCACGCATATGAAGCGGCGATTTGAAAATTAAATCGCTGCTTGTTTTTCATTCCGACAATTTACAAAGCTGCAAGGAGTAATAAAGTCCAAAAAACTAGGTTAAATGTATTAAGGAGGTCCAACAACAAGACCTGGGTGACAAGTGAACTTTTTTACAAATTGCATCCATGAAATATTTGGTTGGTCTAAAAAATATCTGCCTGAGAAACATCTTGAAGGCGAAAAGTATTTGTCAATCCGTGCCTTGCCTTTTATGGAAAATGCTCCTGCAAACCCTTCTGGTTTAGAAGATTTAGAACCTCCTTGAAGAAAATCATCAAGATTATAAATTTATCAAGATCCACTTCTTGCCTCTCAACACCATTCCTTTACTATAATCCACAGACCAGCAGGTCATTTCAAACTTTAAAATGCTTTACATTAGAGCGCTCTTGGAATGCTGTTTTGAGGTCACGGAAGGAACCAATCTCCCTCTCGGAGAATTTTGGAAAAACCGTTTTCACATCGTTGTCTGCCTCAAGGTGATCGCCAAAGTATAATAGAATATCACCAAAAGAACCCTTATTTTTGCATGGAAAAAGTTTTGGCCAGACTGTGCTGTCGAACGCGACTACCACGGAAGAGCCTGTAGAGCCTGTAATCGGCGAGATTGTGACTCTGGCCAAGATTATGGAGCTAGAGGTGGACAGCAACGACATCGATGAGGTAGCGGAATACCATAGACAGGAACTGACCATCGAAGAACTTGCGGAGCTGCATTCTGTGTCATAGGAAGAAGCTGCGGAGGAGATTTCGCCATTGAAAGAGGAGATACAGCCTCAGCATAGCAACAAACCTTCCAGTGAAATAAGTGAGATGCTTAAAGCATGAAAACTGTTGTATCGTACGTTGAGAAGCATCTCTCTAATAAGGTAGTAGCTATTCCCGTTTCCAGATTTATTTAATGCTAATGCTATGTATCACTTTCGCCAAATTTTGAAGCCTAGGCGAAAGCAAATGTCTTTAGACAACTACAGATAATAAATTACATTATTATAAATTCATTTGAGGATTTTTTTCGGAACGGAATGCATTATCCTACTTTATGCTGATATCTATGGAAAAAGAATTTTCACTTAACAAGTGGTTCGCATAACAAGTAAGATTCGGGAACAAATTATGCTCGTTATGAGAAGTTCCACTGTACAAGGTTCCTTGCCAAGAGCTTCATTGAGGATTCTACTGATACTGAATACTTTCGCCTGGCACTAGGTATAGGAAAAAGACGAGGTATAGTTTTGAAATATGCAGCAAAATGGATCGCCAGTATAGGTTAAAATTGTTTCAGTGCTGACAACACGTTATTTTTAAGCGTTGTTCCATCGCTTTGGGAGGCGGTTCGAACTCTAAGGCGATTCGGTGCTTAAATTCATCTGCAGTCTAGCTCCAAATTGTCCTCCGTTTTTGACAGAAATGATTATTCTAGCCGCAGTCTCAAATAAGAGTGGCTCCAGAATTTTACTCTGTCATTGAAACGTAGTACTAGAAATATATTCTACAATATTTCTTTAACAATTCATATAACACTTTTTAGCAATTATTAAAACTGTACTGATGTTAGCTGTTGAATATTAATATTAGCTGTTGAATGTATGGCTCACTTTTCTAGGAACATGCTCGAAACTTTGGTCACCAGAGAAGAAATACTCCATATATATATGTCATTCCTTCATCAAGGTAAATATTTATTCATCAGATCAAGATGGCTGAAAAAGGATTTAGAAGCAAAAATAAAGATGCTTTTTTTTACTGCTTAGAATACGTTCAATGTAAGTTATTTACTTTTTGGCCTCAATGCCATATTATCGTTAATTTACTTATTTGCATTTATTTTATTTCTTCTATAATACATTTTATTTCATTTTTTACCTAATCATGATTAATTTAATCTAATTGTTTTAAAACTTGTATTTAAATTTTCATATTTTATTTAATTTTAATTGTTCACTATTTTATTAACATTCTTTTGTTGAAATTAATCTGGAAATTAATATTTCAGTTCCTAAGATATATTTCCTTGGAGTTAGATCTGCTGTAATTATTGGCAATACATCGCATAAAATTCTTGGCAATACATCGCATAAAAATAAATAAAATAAAATTTATCGCATAAAATCATTCTCATGATTCTTGGGAGCTCATTCAATTTAACTCTCAATACTGTATTTTAGTTCATCTTTATGGAAGCGTTCCTGTGATACGCAAAAGAATTCGAACTAAAATACATCGAAGCAGTAACTTTAAATTTAAACTATGGAGAGGAAAGACGATATGAAAATCTACCGCTTTCCTTTCCATAGTTTATCACAAAGTCCTCACTTAAGAAACCATCTTGGAACATAACCAAGGAACCTCTACACACGCTTCAAAGCGCTGAATGTATTTTCAAAAGAAAAATAAATTAGATTTACTCCATATGCTCTCATTTTGTACAAACATGGAGCATAATACTCAACTTTCATTTCAAAGTGGAATACCGTATCCCGCCCCCTTTTTTTAAGCTAATTTTATCATCCGAAAATTAAGAGGGGAAACTTAAGCGAACTATTTAATTTCCGACAAATGAGGTTACAGTAAGTACGAAAAAATGAAAAGCAGTCATGGATAAACTACTGGTCACTATCACAGTATTATTTCTTTAAATTAATAATAACATTACACTGAGCCGATATTGGGTGGTAATTGAGCGCGCGACGTGTGCGGCTCAATTAAAAGATCTTTTAAAGCTCTAGAAGCACCTCGCATGAATATGTCTTGATCATAGTCACCAAGAGGAACATCGGAAAAACGGCAGAGAAGTGGGCGAATAAAAGATCTGGATTTCGAAAGATCGAACGCATCAGCAGTAGGAAAGGTTAGAATGAGCTGGAATGTAAGTAACAGAAGTATGCTGAAATAACATGTTTGGAAAGTTTCTTAAGTGTGAGAACACTTGCCATGGCTGGGTAGCCTAATGAATAATCTGCATAAAATAATAAATGCAGGGGGAAATGAAATGGACGTAATGCTAATACTAAAGTGTAAATACAAACTGAATTTGGGGAAAAAAATTAAAAATAAATAAATAAATAAATAAAATAAAAAAAAATAAATAAATAAAATTTAAAAAAATCAAGAGAATACAATTTACAATAAACTAGCCCTCAGAGAGGAAAAAAAAAACTATGTAAAATAAAGGAAGGGGAATATTTTTAAAATTTTCAGAACCTATCGCTAGCTAAGGGGAAAAATACGGGAGGAAATATGGTATTATACAATTTCAAAATGATTAACATAGGAAATGTTGGCCTTACGTTATTTTTGAGAAAAAAGTATTTTTAATTAATTAATTACCCTTTATGACGCCCGTCAGATTATAAAATTATTTATTTATTTACAGCATGATCAATTTAGTTTTCCCCTCTTCATCCGATTTTCATACATTTATCTGAGTGTATCGTGCCCTATTATTTTCATAAACGAAATACAATAAACCCTGTTATGACGATAAACGTTCAGACGGTATAGTGGTTAGGGAAGCCTACTGTGATATCGAAGGGCCCGAGTTCGAATCCCGGAGAAAGCAACTGTCCATCCCTTAGGCAACAGTTGTCGCCTATTAGGTGCCTCCACAATTAAACAGCCATCAGTTCTAACCTTAGGAGTAGCCAATGATGAATAGACAAATGCCTGCCATTGGATAAAAAAAAGTTATGATGATGACCTCCCTAAGATGTTCACTTCCAAAAGTGGCAAGTATTTCTGAGATCATAAAGAAACTCTTGCACTGAATTTCACCTACTACCCATGAGTAGTCATCTTAGAAAGTATTTATTTTCCTTCATGTTTAGTACCCTTCAGCTAAAATCACACCACTGTAACATCTTCTAGCAGAGATTTCTGAGACTGAATTTTATTTCTCAGAGAAATGTCATGTCTTCTGCCGGAAACATACCTAGTTTTTTTTATGCTAAAATAAACAAAAATATTAAACACAAAATCGATGTTAATTTAAAAATAAAATATATGTTCCTACCTTAAATTTGCAGCCCATGTCCTTGAAGGCACAGGAAAGTGTAAGGGCAGGACAATGCTCATTGAGATGAGACTCCAAATCCTCTTTGGCAATTTTTAGTACGTCACATCTGTTTGGACAAGTTACGGGAAGACGAGGACATTTAGAAGTGTGAATCTAGAACACATAAAGAAACAAAATTAGATAAAATATACTTAACAGTTGGCAACTCCGAGGAGTTGCTTTTATAAACATGTTTTCATACAATCTAATTTTATTCACACTTTTCAATCTCTAGCAATGAAAACGCCTGAAGTTTGTCATACGATAGCATACGAGTGATACCTTCAGTAGTTCTTTTAAAACTAGAGCTATAAAGGAGCTGAATTAATTGATAATTGAATATATTTGCAATGAATATGAACTTAAGCAACAGGATTAAGAGCGAAACGAAATAATTCAATAGCATTTAACCACCAAACAAGACTAAAATGAAAACCCTTTTATCTGTTAAAAAAGGTTTGATGCTAAGAAGAGAAAAAGGTTCGATGCTAATTGGTAGTAAAGTCCCTTGTCATATATGATTAATTTTAGATTTGTTTGCCTTAAAGTTATGCTTATTTAATGTTTTTTGATGCCAGATTTGGGCACACGTTCCTTTTCGTAATAGTAAACAATAGTACATGTTTTATCATAAAAAAATTAGTTATCCCTGCTGATTTCGAAAGACGTGAAAAGGAAATCTCTATATTATTCATGAATCTATGCCGTACCGCTATTCATGTAGTATAAAATCTAACGTTTCGAATGCACGCCGCATAGATGGCAAGTTTGTTAGCTGTTCGTCGACTCACGATTCTTTATTTTTGTTTCCCCAGTTTAAATTATTTGCAGGTTTTAGGACTTAAAGTGCTTGCGTTCGCACAATGGTATAAATGGATAAGTACAACTCTATTTCTGGAGAAGGAAAAGCATTAATTAGAATAGTGAAATATGAGGGCTGTCAACAATGCCTGGCACAAGCAGCATAAAAAGTTTATGCATTTAATCTAATGTATTGGCATGCACATTACCCTCAATATATGTACTCATCACAGACTCATTCTCCTACCACGTCGCTGGCATTCTTTTAAGATTTATTCGTAGATGTTTCTTTCTTGTAACAACATTCTATATTATGTCAAATAACCTTTACAGCTAGTACTTCAACTTCAGAATGTCTACTAAGTATTACTACTCTAGTACCTTTAGTTTCAATTCAGCTGCATGGTACACATGATTTCCCGTTATAAACCGACAGTTATCGAATGTGAGGCAAGTATTCTACGCCTTCGTGCAAGTATTTTTATACAATGATAGAACTTAAATTACATAAACGAAGTTTTAAATGTCTTATTAGTTAAAAATCTCTTTTGGAATATTATCCTCCGTTAATATTTATGCCCCCAACAATTACGATCATAAAAGCTATTCGCCTAATTAAAGCAGTTGCTAAACGAGTAGCCACACATTTCAAAACTTCGATGCAGATTTTATAAATATTTCAAAGAATTGAAAATCCAAATAGTGTGACTCTGCAGAAACTTAAATGCTGATTAGAGCGTCTGATAAGTTGATACTTTTTTTTAGCTGTTTTGCTGGGATTCTACGATTATTTCACTAAAATGAAAACTAAATTAAGTAGCATAATTTTGCTTGCAAGTATCGAACTTTTTTCAAAACAAGTTAAGTTTACAGCTTTAAAGCAAGTTAAACAAGTTAAGTCTACAGCTTTACAGCGCAATTTGTACTTCCTTCACGAAAAATAATACCATTTATTATTGATGGGTCTACATAGGTTGCGTATCATTTTATAGACTCTGCTATCAGTAAGTACAAAGATTCAGAAGGTTGGATCAAGAAAAACCGCTAAGAGTTTTAATCTAAGATAAAGGTTTAAAAAAAATGAAAACTAAATTCTCGCTATAAAAATACTTAGATGAAGGGATTGCGAAAGAAGAGGTAAAGTACCTGTAGAGTATCGTAGACGAATTCTTTCTGACAATATCTGCAGGGAACCAACCTCTTTGTGCATTCGTGCAGTCGGTGATTACTCTGATGCCGCCGCTGGATTTTCGACCCACACTTATTTTCGCAGTAGATGGGCTCCAGCTGACAACTACCCACATGGCTCTGTGTAATACGAAATACAAAATTTTATGGTCAGATGTGTTTTTGAAAATTATTACAAACATTTTTTTAAAATTTTCATGACAGGAATGAATATTATCTCACGTTTACTTTCGTTATCAAATAAACACGGTCAGAAGGAAGCATATATAAATGAAGGGACTATGGGATAAAAAGAATAGAAAAAAAGGAAAAAAGAAGAATGTCTTGCGACAGAAAAACTAATATTAATCATGCTTTTAACTAAGAACAAAACGTAAATGGTGAATACAAAAATATTAGATCGTAAAAAATGAGAATAAAATCCACGGATTTCTTTTCATCTTACCATTTTCATGACCTTACGAGATGTTTGGCAATCTGTTTAACTCATCAATATATCTGCCTAATTTCAGAGATACAGCTTTGCAGAGTTTGAGTTTCGCAACAGTTTTTAACTTGTTATTCTGGTTTATCGTTTCTGTTGTTTCACCTCAGTTCTCACAGAAGATGAAAATTTTACGATGAAGCTATCAAAGTTTCGCGTATGCACAGTGCTTGTTTAACAGAGTTCCGAATTTCTAAATGGTATTTCATATTGGCTAAAGTGTAGACTATCGGCTTATGGTCAGTTAGGCAGTTCTGCCCCGCACTACGAAGTTGAAGCAAGAGTGCTAAGTTTGGACTTTAATTTTTGTGTCAGTGTTTAAAAGGCTGGCGACGATATTATTTGAGTCATTGGTATCTGTTTAGTCGGTTTGTGCGAAAGCGATAGAATTAATTAAATTTTCGCTTTGTTTTCCTCAATATCGGGTGATTAAGTTCTGCACTTTTTAGGGTTAGTGGTTCTAAATACGCATTTGATTTTATTGCTAACATTTAAATAACTGTTTTCGGTTCAGTTAAGAGTTTAGGGAAAGCAGAAACTCGCCTAAGCTCAAATGATCTAACATTCGGTAGAAGAAAGTATCTAAGAGGAAAGTAGATTTGAACGTGAACAATAACTAGAACACTACAAACTTAAGGTTTGTTTTTCTCTTTTTTCCTTGAAAGTTTATGTATTTAACACTCTTTAATATAGAAGGTCTTTCGCACTTTAAGGAAACGATTTTAATGATTATTTTTTGTGCATAAAGGGCATATTTCTTCCTGGGATTTGCTTCTGTCTGAGCCCAAGAATCCAGACGAGATCTAGCTCGAATTTTTCATGAAAGTAAACTTTTTCTTAGCACCATAATGTCAAATTTATCCCACTCCTCTTAGGTCATTTTCCAGAGTTTGCTTATTATTCTTGAATGCCATTTTCCTATGGCTTGTTTTAACAAACCGAAAGCACAAAAGTCTATAGGAGAAGCATCAAGTGATTTTTACGGGTATTTCATTATATGGGACACATTTTGTTCCTGTTTTTGATTCTTTCTTTGCTAAACAAGCAGAAGTGAATTTAGACATGTGCCTAGAGGCTTTTTCTACATGAAGCTCAGGTGTTTACTGATGCCTTTTTTATATATGGCTGGATTTTTTTCTTTAAAAATTGGTTCTAAAATATTCTCCTGATAGTACAGTGAATTCATTTCAGCCTTATTTGAAACATTTTTTTGAGTTTTAATTTACTGTTGTAATAAAATTCTGCAACTATTATGAATCTCGTTGGAAACATTCCTGTACATTGACGAACTCACTTTGTACGGACATTTTCATCAGTTGAGCAATAGAAATCGAACTTTTTAGATAACAGTTACTTACATATATATACTTATGTCTCATCGAGTGTTACCAAAAATTTCAATTTATCATCAGCTAGGTGTTTTTGATATAATTTTCTACAATTTGCTTTGTTTTTCGCAATATGCTTTAGCAAAAGCAGATAAACTTCAGGTTTAAGCATCTTTTTTAACTTCAAATCTTTATGAGGGATTTTATTTCCTGCGCCAGAAGACATTCCGAATTCCGATGCAATGCATCTTTGAGTCGGTGGATTTGCTTTCAGGATCAAAGACCTCACTTTCTTGATACTCACTCGTGTTCAGACAGCCTTAAGATGCGGTTTTGTGGCCATTTGTTTCATTTTTTCTTTCAATTAAAAGATTTTCCCCCTTTCAAACTGAACATATTAAATATACTTTTCCTTGCAGCATAAAAACCTCGATTTTTATACGGCTTTAAATTTGTTGACAGGAGTATTTTTCTTCGGAAAGTGCATTTAAGTAGCTTCGAACAATTCATCAATTCTAGGAGCTATTTCCAAAATAAATCCCCTATTCTACATGCCAATAGAAACAAAATAGTAGCAGATGATTATATTCAAAATGCCAAATCTTTATCTTCAACGAAAACATTGAAACCAAAAATTGCTTCCATAAAGTTCGAATGATCTTCTGTATAATCGCCGCCAACTTTAATACATTTCTGGGGCGGAAGATGAACCCATTGCTCATACCAGTAGCAGTCAATACAATAAAGGATAATAACCGTGCAGTAGATTGTTAATATCTTAATTACTTATTGCTTTATTTTGATCCTCGTAGCATTTTTATGAATAAGAACCTTGATTTTTGTGTAAAATAAGAATTCAGCTTACACCAGGAGGATACGATGGAAATCGAACTGGACTGCTTATTTTCTAAAGGTCTATTTACACTATTAGAAATTTGAGTCCAAGAAAAATTGTCGGCTCCACTGAAGAGGAGGGGGGGGGAAGGCCTTCAATCTTTTTGAGATCTTTTTGAGGCCTTCAATCTATTGCATAAAATAAATAAACAACCTAGACGACAATACCATTCTAAATCTCAAAACTAAAATATTTCTTCAGCAAATGAAACTAATTAAAAATCGCTCAAGTTCGCACATTTCTTCGTGTCGAAGTATTGTTATTGTAAATGAGTCTCAATAGATAGTAGTGTTATAGTCAAGAATATTATGAACAATACATGCATTTACAATTGTACATATTTACAATTGTGTCATAAGAAAAGATTAAATATTTGTAAGATTCTCATTTTTATATCAGAGAATTTTAGTTCAAACATTTCTCCACACTTCCCCTCCCCCTAGAAAATGTGGTATTAAGCACAAAAGCATTGCAAATTTCCTGATTGTTTAGACTGGTTGCAGAATATGGGAAGATTCGATATTTTTAAAAACAACGAGCTAGAATCAAGTCCAGTGCAAAATACCGCGTCAGAATTGGGGTCTTAATTAAAAACATTCCGAGCAATCACTATTTTTAATAGCACGGAAAGGTTAACTTCGCTTGGTTCAGTAGCAAATTATTATTGTAGACATCAACAAACATTTTTATTTATATTTTTGTATAAAAGTTAAGAAAAGTTTTGAATTAAAAATATTTAATTAGAATGGTTTGAGAACAAGCATATTAGTAAGTAAACATACACAATTAAAAAAAGCTAAAATTTTGTTATAAGTAAACATACACAATTAAAAAAAGCTAAAACTTTGTTATCCCACTTGGGAAACAAATTTATAATTATCAATAATTTGTAAATGGAATAATTTAATAAGTCAAGAATTATGGCCTAAAGTTCACATTACTTATACACTGATTTCAGCTAGATTTAATTCCAAATTCTTTTCGAATTATTGGAAACGCTAACCGTCACAGAAGTATGTTTTCTACAATGGACAATCGATCGTTGACAATTTTTTCCTATTCTCTTCCCCAAGCAAACTCAAACGCAGTTTAAAATATACACGCTGACTTTACTGATTCAAGAAATAAGGAAATATGACATCCATCCCCATCACATTTATGGACTGATAAACGCATAGCCCCAAAGAGAGTCAAACCCAGTTACAAAAGAAAATGGTAGAACTTCTCGTAACCTATATCCAAGTCATATTTCATATACAGAGTATGCACCAAAAATGTTAAACATATCCCCACGGAAGCCCAACGTCCAAAACAAGATAAAAAAAGAGAAGGGGGGGAACTTATCCGCCCTCGAAAATGTAGGTGCATGCGAACATACAAAAATCATGATAAAAAGAAAGAAACGTAATGTCTGTATGGGAACAAAATGATTGGGAACATATCAATCGTCCGGGCGTCACCATTCCAAGGGAATCCGACCGCTTTATCTTTGTCTTTGATCCCTGACTTCGGGAATCTATTTGAGACGAAATAGTGAACTTTTTCCCGTTTTTTCCTTGGGAATTTTTACTCTGGATTTGGATTCGTCATTTCCAGGATGAAAAATGGGAGCTCGGTGCCGTTTTTTCATTTTGCAAGAGAGATATTTTTTTGGATGCCAATTTATTATTTCTTATCCCCCTCGAGATGTAGCTTAGGTGTTCTTTGGTGACGTGAAATATCACACTTGCATTTTATTTCCTTGGGAGGAGCAATATGCGAGATGAGCTGAGGTATCTCTAGAAACCTACTTCTAATTCTAGCTCTTGTACTTATCTGCTTCGGTTATTTCCTTGGGAGGAGTTATTTCCTTGGGAGGAGCATATGCGAGATGAGCTGAGGTATCTCTAGAAACCTACTTCTAAATTCTAGCTCTTTACTTATGCTGCGTCTGTTCGGTTTATTTCCTTGGGAGGAGCAATATGCGAGATGAGCTGAGGTATCTCTAGAAACCTACTTCTAAATTCTAGCTCTTTACTTATGCTGCGTCTGTTCGGTTTATTTCCTTGGGAGGAGCAATATGCGAGATGAGCTGAGGTATCTCTAGAAACCTACTTCTAAATTCTAGCTCTTTACTTATGCTGCGTCTGTTCGGTTTATTTCCTTGGGAGGAGCAATATGCGAGATGAGCTGAGGTATCTCTAGAAACCTACTTCTAAATTCTAGCTCTTTACTTATGCTGCGTCTGTTCGGTTTATTTCCTTGGGAGGAGCAATATGCGAGATGAGCTGAGGTATCTCTAGAAACCTACTTCTAAATTCTAGCTCTTTACTTATGCTGCGTCTGTTCGGTTTATTTCCTTGGGAGGAGCAATATGCGAGATGAGCTGAGGTATCTCTAGAAACCTACTTCTAAATTCTAGCTCTTTACTTAT